GTCTTCGATTACTTTCGTTCTTAAATTTTTGATACGAATGCATCTGTTCCGATTCAGAAGAAACGAACAACACAATCTGATTTTACGATACAGACAAATAAATCAATGTGCAAATAAAGAAAAACTTGGCGTCGGCTAGACGTAATAGGAAAATATAATAGAATTAACTAAAGAAAAGCGATTCGATGTTACGATACAGATGAATAAATAAATGCACAAATAAAGAGAGTCTGACAAATAATACTAGAACGTTCGCAACGCAGAACGAAGAATCGTTAAAGGAGGCACAGGGAACGTAGCAACCTGGTTGCCAAGGGTAAGAGTAGAAGGAATTAACCCCTTCAACTTCTCGATTGGTTCGGAAAGGGAATTTCTAATCGTTTCTCGGTCGTGATTTTTTTTTTCCCATACAGTAGCGAACGGTCGAGTAGGGTGCATTAAGAAACTGGGTATATTCCTACCCCTTGGTCCCCGGCAACCGTCGCTCACCCCCGTCGCTGCTTCCGTCTTGCTCGCTCGTGCAATCAATAACGTTCGTCGACGTTCCCGACGACTGCGCAACGTAACGCTATGACTTTGCTCGTTCCTGCGCATCTTTTTCTTTCCAATGGACGCCGACGCCGAGCGTAGCTGAACGGGCTGGCTGGCTACGCGTTGCTAATAAACCCCCGACCCTAATACACCCCGTGTCCGATGATCGCTGGCGAGAGAGACGGTGTGATAGCGAGGCACAGAGGGACATAGAAAGAGAAAAACGGACGGTAGAGAAAGAGAAAAAGAGATGTATGGACAGAGAGAGAGAGAGAGAGAGAGAGAAGGAGAGAGAGAGAAAGAGAAAAAGACATATATGGACAGAGAGAGAGAAAGAGAGAGAGAGAGAAAGAGAGGATGTAGAGAGAGAGAAAGAGAGAGATGTAGAGAGAGAGATGTAGAGAGAGAGAGAGAAAGAAAGAGAGAGATGTAGAGAGAGAGAGAGAGAAAGACAGAGAGAGATGTAGAGAGAGAGAGAGAGAGAGAGAAAGAAAGAGAGAGATGTAGAGAGAGAGAGAGAAAGAGATGTAGAGAAAGAGAGAGATGGAGAGAGATGTAGAAAGAGAGAGAGATGTAGATAGAGAGAAAGAGAGAGAGAAAGAGAGAGATGTAGAAAGAGAGGAAGTTACAGAGAGACGTAGATAGACACAGAGACACAAAGAGACATAGAGAGATAGAATGGCACAGACGCCAGACAGTTTGCGATACAGTGCCCGATGCTGTTTCCACGTAGTTTAGAATCAATAGGAATCGCCGGTGAATCACCGAGCATGCTAGAACCCACCCTCGCTTAGACGAGAGACCCGGTGCACCCCTTGTTCGTCCGCTCGTTCGTTCATTCGGCCAGCCCTCCACGATGCGCTAGTACGTCTGCGGTTGTATGCGAAAACCGCGGACACAGTGGCCAGCACATAAATAGGGGAGTTTTCGTTCCACCGAATTCTGTCTGGTCCGTTTCCGCAGGCTGCGTTCGGAAATGTAGAGGTTGATACGCCGCAACCCCCCTGCGTCAGGCCCGGAAAAAATGGACCCGAGATCCGAATTGGTGTTCGTAGGAAATTGGGAATTAGCAGAAAGTACGGGGGTAGGTCTGGGCTAGCCTTGAAAGTTAGAAAAATGAAGGTGAACGTTTGAATGTACGCAAGCTAACTATACATAACTGGTGTACTAATTCATGGTTTATAAATTTAAACGTTAGCACAGAAGGTAGCGTTAGGTTCGTGTTAAGTTTGAGAGTTCGAGAAGTTTAAATATTTAATCTAGAAAAACAGGAATGAATACTTGGACACACGCAACCCCTATACAACACTTGTAATTTAAGAAGTGGCCATGTTGTGCGAATTCCGAATTACACCGAATTAAAAATTAATACAGAAAGTGGAGTTGTTCGCTTTTCCTGGAGAACATTCGTTCTGTTCGTTTAGTTATCGCTTTCGAAGTGTGCTGTGATTTGTTCTCCAACTCGTTCCGCGGATTACTAACAATCGCGATTTCAAATTTCGCGCGAGAAAACGTTGAATAAACTCTGTCGGCGTTGTTTTTTAACATTTCAGCCGATTAAATTGAAAGCTGCATTGTGTTCTCTGTACGGCGGTCCTCGTAATCATCTGAATGACTTCAAACGATTGGAGGGTAGATTGTTGCACCTGCAAAATAAACCCAACCGAGCTTGTAGACTGGCCTTTTAAGTTTTAGTATTTTTGCTTGGCTTTATTAGACAGTGGATGTTGTGCATTCATAACAAAAATGAATAGAAGAAAGAGATTTAAGAATATCGATGCATTAATCTCAACTTATTACGATCGTCGTAGGATGTGAAACGGTGACAATTTTCATTTCGCATAAAAATCCATAGACTAGTTATTATTAACGTTTTCTCCGCTCTTACTAGAAAGGGTACAATATTATTCAGCATATTTCTCCACTGTAAATCTTATTTATATTAACCTATTCATTATCTATCTTAATTCTGTAAAATACATGGCCGTTAATGACCACATAACTAATGCAACCACGTTAAAATAAACTGTAAATAAATAAATAAGTTATCGGTAACTGATGAGTTCGATTACAATCATTATACAATAAAAAGTATGTCAACTGTCTAAAAAAAAATGTCATATGTGTTGTCAATAATATGGAAGAGTTTGAGTATTTTGGTCAACTGAAATTGAGCAAAGTTGTTATTGTGACTGATGGTTCAAAGTATCAATTATGGAATCTTTGGTGTATCTCTATTTCGTCCGAAGAGAGCAATTCTCTTCTTTTCGCCGCGGTGGCACACCTACTTTCCAGACCTCGTCTAAGACAGGAACTTTCAGCGGAAACTTTTTGAAAGCACGATTTATGTTGTATTTCCTCGTAGCCGCAGCGACTGATGTGTATATAGCAGTAGTTCCAACCGGAATAGTCAGAGTCCAAAGAGACCGAAGATGTTCCAGTGTACATTCGCGGATGTAAGGCAGATCGCCGTAAGTCATAAGTTTTCCGTTCCAAGAGATTGCGGTTTCATGCTCGAAACATCAATAACGCAGCATAGATTCCGGCGCATCCCTCGCATTCGTGTTTCGAGGACGTGAAACATGTTCTATACATTTTCGTTCCTAGAGGAACACGAACGCTGCATCAGGACCGAAGTCAATTCCATTTACTATTATTATTATTGCAATCAAACACGAATTCAATTTACCGAAACTCCGTTCAAAAGTGAGTTTAATTACATTTGCTATTATTAGTGTAACGAGCAAACCTAAATTCTGCTTCGCAGGCCTCCGTTCAATACTTAGCTCAATTAAGATAACTAATTGTTATTATTATTACAAGCAACTCTTGCATAATGCAACAGTTCCGTTCAACAGAACTGGGACATTCGGGGGATCTTAGAAATGAGGGAAGAAAATAGGGTCGCTGTAAAGTGGAAATTTATCAACGTTTAACCAAAAATCTATACAACTTATTGTCTTAATAGTTTGTCAAACGATAACAGAACTCTTCCTCAAGATGTAGTTTTTTCAAATTGATTCGTTCAGTAGTTTCCTTTTAATACTAAACCTGTCGAATACCAAAGGTTACTTTTAGTATTACTTTTAAAAAAATGATACGATTGAATTTGTTTAGACTTTGCATAATTTTTATTTTACGTTCTTGCATACAGTCTTATTCGGTCGGATTTCATGAAGCTATTTTTATACTTTCAAATGATTACAAAATCAAATGTACGAAATGTTCGAACTTTAGCAGTCAATAAATTCGAAAGTAGTATGAATCATAATTCAGAATTTTCCAGGCACATTCTGAAGCAGTGAAACTGCATGACGCTGCCAGAAAAGATCGATTCGTTTCACCAGGAGAAAGAAAGCTCTCCGTTGACAACGGCAGGACGCGCGGAGAGCGTCGCGATCGAAGATCAGATTTCAGGATTAGTTTTCGGCAGCTCGTGCGTGGGAGTAGGGCCTGCCGATAGATTGCAATAGGCATACTAATATTCCCCGACGGAAAAACTGCCAACGCAACCGCCACATGACCCAGATAAAAGGATAGCACAGCGGGAGGATACGTCGGGGCGAAGCTTTTGTCTGCCTTTGCAGAACTCGAGAAGTCAGCTCATCAGCGTGTCTATTCTCGGAGAATGGAACATCTCGAGAACCTAGTTAGTCAAGACGGCTGCCCTCTTCAGCATAACAGAGACAAATTAGAGTTTTTCACGGTGGGAAAAGGAACGTGTTACGCGGAGCAAGGGCTCGAAAAGGGCGAATTTCGGAACACGCAAACCGTGCTACACCGTCGACAATGTTGCCGGACCCGACGGTCCTCTTTCTATAGGGGGTGGAATCACATTTTCTTGGTACGATTCAGAGAGCCACGAGCTAAATGGATATGTAGATTCCACCCGCTGGGTTTTTAATAAGTCCAGAATGGAGTTCGCTTTGCCACAGACTTGGAACCGAGGGTGGTTTCTCGGTCAAAAGCAAATGGACATCAGCGAATTATGGTTCTGAAATGCTTCACGCGTCCCTCTACAAGGCTAACTGCGTTACAACTACTTTCTTGGGAAGGAAAAAGCTTTCTGGAAACTATGTTTCTACGAGCATTTGACAAATCTAACTGTTGTTCGATGCTACGACGCTTTGTCTGAAATGGAGAAAGATATATTATCGGAAAACTTTTTAATTATTTCGTTGCTCACTTTTCATAGATCGTATTTGAACTCGTATTTTGAACTGAAAGAGTTGGATGTGACTGAATTTTATATTTAGTTTCTGATTAAACATTTCACTGGTATAGTTTCAGCTCAGTTTTTATTATCAAAGTACCTAATTCTACAAACTAGATAAATTTTAATTGCAAATGTTAAGAATCAGAGAATTACCGGGTAATTAACAATAAAACTGAGTATGCGTGAAAGAGAGCCTGCATTATGATCAACAAGTAGAGTCCCCAGGAAATCATTATTTCTATTGTATGTGCAGAAAATGTGAAGCCGAAGAAACCCATCGACTTACCGATTCCAAAGGGTGTGGATGATGATCTCGACGAGGACGAGGATGATCTCGATGACGAGGATGACCTCGACGCTGATACGGACGACGACGATGACTCTGAGGCAGATCCTGAGGATGTGCTCAGCGACCAACCTGACGACGACGAAAGTGACGAGGAGTATCTGGACGATTACGACACCACGACCAGGTAAACTAATCGAGAATAGTGCATTTACAACTTGGAAATTGCTTTCGAGTTCGATTGTGAGATTAACTGGTGATTCTGTTTGTTGCAGTCGATTATCAACGACAGTTTCGACGACAGAGAAACCGAAACAAGATGTGACTGCTATGCCATTGCCGGTCAGCACCAGCACGCAACAATCCTCGCAGTCTCAGAGCACACCTGATCCGTACCTAACACACTTTGATCCGCGCTCTGAACATCAAAGTTACAAGCAAGCACAAATGAGACTGGAAGAGGTGCACAAAGAAAAAGTGACAAAAGTAAGTGGGTGTTACAGCGTTGCTCTTATCTGCATAGAATAAAGTAACGCTTCGTTTATTGAAGAGAAGTCACATTAATGTAATCACAGTATTTCTAGCAAGTCGAATTTCGAGAGACAGTTATTATCACGCGGAACACCAGTGTCGAAATCTTTGTGCTACAACGGTTTTAGGTGATGAAGGATTGGAGTGATCTCGAGGAGAAATATCAGGACATTCGCGAACACGATCCGGTTGCTGCTGACGCTTTCAAACGATGGATGACTGCACGGTTCCAGGAAACTGTCGCGGCTCTGGAAGAAAGCGGTGCTGTGGAGAAGCATCAGTTGAGCGCTATGCACCAGCAGAGAGTGCAAGTGCGTGAGCTCGTCCATTAAAACTGAGTTAACTGCGAATTAATCATTGATCAATTAATTCTGCGATGACCACAGTTCACTTAAAGTACTATTACTATTACGATTCATTTGTAGGAAGCTGTTAAACAGAGGAATGAAGAAGCGATGTCATGTTACACTGCTGCTCTGAACGATTCCCCTCCGAATGTAAGCTAAAAAAAGCTGCATAACACAGTTCGTGAAAGCGAGAGACGTTCATAATGTTTGTTCGTCTCTGTTTAGATGCACCGTATTCAGAAGTGTCTGCAGAAACTGCTCCGAGCTCTTCACAAGGACAGACACCATACCATCGCTCATTATAGACACCTTCTAGACAGCAGCCTGGAGCAAGCGCAACGCGAGAAACCAGCAACCTTGGAACACTTGGCGGAGATCGACAGAATCACCAATCAGAGCCTTTTGATGTTAGAACGGTAATGCGCTAGCAAACGAAACGCAACGACGATCGCAGAACCTGTAGATCTCTGAACTTTCGAGCAGACCATTGCTTCGTATCATAGAACAGAATTCATGGAAGATTTCATTCCTTATATTTAGGTATCCTGATTTAAGCGCAAAAATTGGCCGGCTTATGGATGATTACGTTTTGGCCCTCAGGAGCAAAGATGAGACTCCTGGACTGCTGTTAGCGATGACACGCGAAGCGGAAGCAGCGATTTTAGACAAATATCAGGCTGATGTCACCAGCAAACAGCAAGGTAGCCGAGAGATGTTCCATTCGTTATGAACCGGTTAGTTATTATAGTAGCCTCGTAATAAAGAAACATTTGTTTTCAGAAAAAGAGCATCAAAAGGAACTCGAACGAGCACGCAAGGAGCAACGCAAAGCGGAACGCGGCGAATTACGTACCGAGCAGGCTCAGCAGGAAGAGAACGACTCGACAAATGATAACAAAGATACTCAGCAGCAACAACAACCAGAACAATCCTCGGCAGCTGCCGCGATGCACAGTGAGGGACTCGTAAGAGCAGCTCACAGCATGAACCATGAAATTTCCCACTCTGAACCGGTAAAAATAATTATAGAAAATTAGCTCTAACCGTGTAAAACCCTAAAATTTCCTAATTTATTCAATGCATTCTAAATTAGAAGCATGATGTTTCGTTTCATGTAGACTGTTGCATCTTTGTATTTAGATGTAATTATGGAAGTGTTTATAAAATTTGTTACTGTGTTTGTAGGGATACTCAATTAGAGGGAATTCAAGGGAAGTTTACCGTAGAGAGAGTACATCAGTCTACTTCACCCTTGCGTTCGCGGGAATAGCACTTATGGCTGCTGCGGTAGTTGGTGTGGCAGTATTCAAAAGACGCAGTGCGAGAAGCCCTCACAGTCAGGTACATTCGAAAAGAAAACCACATGGATTTATAGCATGATTTGATTTTATTGTACAACAATCGTTAGAGCATACTAACTGTTCATACTGTAATTGTCAGGGTTTCATCGAGGTCGATCAAGCGGCTACACCAGAAGAACGACACGTCTCGAACATGCAGATCAACGGATATGAAAATCCTACATACAAATACTTCGAGGTCAAAGATTAAGTTAGCCATCTGGATCTACAGAATTTTATTTGAAACTGGTCTTAATTGTCCGTTCTCGCGTATGTTCTTCAAGAATCTCATAGTATTTTGTTAGTGTAAGATACCTAATCAGGTCCGAGGTTCTTCCGAAGATTCGAAGTATATAGAGAGATTTGCATCTTAGTGATACGTGGAATATAAAATCTGTCCATAGGGTGATAGATGTTGCAATACAGTATCATTATGTGACGTCCCTTTATATAGCCTACCGACGTGTCACGACCATTCTTTATGCTCCTCGACATGTATAAAGCAATGCTCCTAATAACATCTGGTAGATTACGAAAACGAGGACGAGCGTCCGCGTGTGACGCTCGCACGCGAATGGAGATTATCTACGAGACAATTCGCAATGAAAGCAACACGCCAATGTGCCATATGGGAGGAAAACACATAATCGTCTTCGGAAGTATCTCATACACGTTGTTTTCGTTTCGTTGTCATACATGTTATTGAGAATAAAAAAGAAAACGCAGGAAGGAGCGCTCACAATAAAATAAAAATGACGAAGAACCGATACGTTCACTCGCTAATTGTCCGCAACAACATTCTTTTGATGAAAGGACCGCAATCGATTTAACATGATAATTCATTGTGTCTTCGGCGACGGAAATATCTATTACGAACGCGCGACCGAAAGAAACGCGTGACTGTTGCGCTCTTTGCTGTATTTTTCAGTTCTGATATTTTCGGAGATAGTCAATGGCAATAAAGGTTGCGCAGCTTGAACATAATACGTGAACAAACTAAAGACGATAGCAGCGGTAGCGGCTTGCACGGCGAAAAAAAGCAGCAAAGTATAATCCGATTAAAATATAATAATAATAATAAATAAAGAAAACGTAAGCATAATACTAGAAGTGTATGCTAACCGATAAAAAAAAAGAATTAACAAAAACGCTCTTAAAATATCAGAACGGCAAATCGATGATGCACGTTCACCTTCGTGATGCAGCTGTCTTTTTCCATCTCCGTTCGATTCCCACTGCCTGATTTTTTCAGCGACCTTTTCAGTACTTAACGTCTACTTAGATTATACAACTTTATACTTAAGGGAAAAATTGAGAATCGCGAACGTATCTAAAGTTTAATGAGAAAAACGAGATATTTTATCATTCCATACGATAAGTCCACTATATTATCGAGGTGCTGTCCGAATGTATGCACGGAAAATGTTCAGTAGCTTTGTTCGGCTCGGCCGGGGGCCGTTTCCGTTTTCGGACGCGAACGGAGTCGAAAGAGTCACGCCTAGGCTACCGAATAAGAGGAACAGTTAACAGAAGTTTTTTTGAGTGGCATTAGTACCTTCGATTCTAGCTCGACTAAGTGGCGACCGTTGAAGCAAAGCGTTTCTCTGTTCTTGTTTTGTTTTTATTTTAATTTACTCGACGTCCCGNGATACGTGGAATATAAAATCTGTCCATAGGGTGATAGATGTTGCAATACAGTATCATTATGTGACGTCCCTTTATATAGCCTACCGACGTGTCACGACCATTCTTTATGCTCCTCGACATGTATAAAGCAATGCTCCTAATAACATCTGGTAGATTACGAAAACGAGGACGAGCGTCCGCGTGTGACGCTCGCACGCGAATGGAGATTATCTACGAGACAATTCGCAATGAAAGCAACACGCCAATGTGCCATATGGGAGGAAAACACATAATCGTCTTCGGAAGTATCTCATACACGTTGTTTTCGTTTCGTTGTCATACATGTTATTGAGAATAAAAAAGAAAACGCAGGAAGGAGCGCTCACAATAAAATAAAAATGACGAAGAACCGATACGTTCACTCGCTAATTGTCCGCAACAACATTCTTTTGATGAAAGGACCGCAATCGATTTAACATGATAATTCATTGTGTCTTCGGCGACGGAAATATCTATTACGAACGCGCGACCGAAAGAAACGCGTGACTGTTGCGCTCTTTGCTGTATTTTTCAGTTCTGATATTTTCGGAGATAGTCAATGGCAATAAAGGTTGCGCAGCTTGAACATAATACGTGAACAAACTAAAGACGATAGCAGCGGTAGCGGCTTGCACGGCGAAAAAAAGCAGCAAAGTATAATCCGATTAAAATATAATAATAATAATAAATAAAGAAAACGTAAGCATAATACTAGAAGTGTATGCTAACCGATAAAAAAAAAGAATTAACAAAAACGCTCTTAAAATATCAGAACGGCAAATCGATGATGCACGTTCACCTTCGTGATGCAGCTGTCTTTTTCCATCTCCGTTCGATTCCCACTGCCTGATTTTTTCAGCGACCTTTTCAGTACTTAACGTCTACTTAGATTATACAACTTTATACTTAAGGGAAAAATTGAGAATCGCGAACGTATCTAAAGTTTAATGAGAAAAACGAGATATTTTATCATTCCATACGATAAGTCCACTATATTATCGAGGTGCTGTCCGAATGTATGCACGGAAAATGTTCAGTAGCTTTGTTCGGCTCGGCCGGGGGCCGTTTCCGTTTTCGGACGCGAACGGAGTCGAAAGAGTCACGCCTAGGCTACCGAATAAGAGGAACAGTTAACAGAAGTTTTTTTGAGTGGCATTAGTACCTTCGATTCTAGCTCGACTAAGTGGCGACCGTTGAAGCAAAGCGTTTCTCTGTTCTTGTTTTGTTTTTATTTTAATTTACTCGACGTCCCGCTCCTTTCTCTTCTGTTACTCCATCTCCACCTCTTTCTCTCTCCCTCTCTCTCTCTCTCTCTCTCTTACTTTCACCTCCGCCCCTGTTCTTCTCGTTATTATTACGTTTTTTTTCTATGATTTAGAAAGATGGTTCATACAATAACTATCTTAGGATATTAATTATATATATATATATGATGACGATAATATATTACACGTTTAATGCTTATATATTTGTATATGGTCAGAAGATAGTTAGGCCGCACTTTAGCCAGGGTCGCGTGGGAAAGCACAGCTTTCACTTGTTTTCAATGAATCATGCACGGTTTTTTATTAGGCTGGTATATCTTTATATCGACCGGATCAGTGTAATGTATAGATTCGACAGGCGTTTTTTCTGTACAATGACAATTTTAGCCGCGCAAGTATTACGTTGATTATTATAGTATCGTAAGACGCTTTCGGACCGAACGATTCTAATCTCGTGTATTGACCCTTTATAGGGCACGTGTCCCGAGACATGAGAGAACGTTTCTGCTTTTATTCAGCGTTATCGATTAAGGGGCTGTAACAGATTGATTTTCGATCGTCAGAAGGGAATACTTGCGATAGTAAATAACAGCCTGGTGTACCGACGTTACCAATGCCCCATTCATTGTGTTATTTTTATAAATATTATAACCTTTCCATGTTGCTGGTATATACTGTGTGTGTACCAGCGGTTACCAGAGGTTAAAGTCGCTCATCGTTTGTGAAAGTTGTACCCTTTACTACCTATAAGGTATCCTTGTTTTCAAACAATGCTAATTCTCTTTTTTGCTAAAATAAAATTAAGCGGAATTGCGCAAACCGGGGACAATTAATGAATCCTTGGATTCCTAAGCGCACGTTTGAAGCAGCTGCCTCCCGTCTAGAAGAACGATCACACACACACACACACACGCATGGACTGTTTTGTCTCACGCAACTCCGGTGAAAGGGATGTGCCGACGAAAAAAAAAAACGCACGCGGGCACACACATTCGCGCATCGCTGAGTGTTAAAAATATTATTTTAGATATATTTAAAAAAAAAAATAAAAATGATAGCAATTAACTATATGTCTATGAATACAACAAAAGCATAGCATCAATGCGTTAATAATAATAATAATGATAATATAAATATCTATATATAAATATATATGTTCGTGTGCACGTGTGTGTGTGCGTGCGTAATATATGAACAATATACATATACATATACATGTACACCTATCAAATTAACTATACATTATGTACCTATAGCGTATAGTCGTTAAAATGAGGGAAAAAAAACATTAACATGTCGCGTATGAAATGACTTGATACGGATTCACAGATGTTGAGAAAACAACTCTTGTCCTTTAAGAACGTTACATTGGCTTTGTTTTAGCGACGTTTTCCGATTTTTCGTTTACTTATTTCGGAGATGAGATACGAGAAGATGATACGCGGTGATGTGCAAGGTATAAATGAACAGGTGCGAGGACGAATTTGAAGGGCGAATCTCTGTGACCAATATCGGACGAAATTTAAAAAGCGGTGCGTAAGTTTCTGTCTTTGTCTCTCTGCAGGTCTTGTGCTAACCTAACTCACGCGCGCGTCGCTATCGATTTGTCATCGATTGTCGATTGTTGATTTTTCGATTGTCTCCCACCTGTTACCGAACACTTTGTACAATTGGCCTACATTGGCGTATTATTATTCACAACGATGAGAAACGCGTTGAATAACAGCTCACCAAATTGAACGTCCGCGTACTATCTTTTGAGCATCATGGGAAAACGAGTCGTGTGCTCGTCGAAGAGGACCTTTTTACGACGCGGAAGTAAACGTGACCGGAGTAACGGACAAGGGATACGTTGTTTACTTTTCGACGAGCGTCGTGGGAAAACTTTTAACGGTTATCCTATCCGTCAGTATTAGCTCGAATTGTTTCTTCGAAGCATATCAGTTGTTAGTCGATGTATTCGTTTCGACAGTGAGTAACGCGGCGCGGCAGCCGGGTATCACCCGCGTCAACATACTGTGAACTCGCATCGAGCCACCCTGTATAAGTTTAAGAATTGATTTTTGTAAAGAGGTAATAAGTACTTATACCGTGGTAATTAACTTAGCTTAAAAGAAGATGAAAAACAAATACGAGAGAACAAAAAAAAAAGAGAGAGAACAAATGAGATGACACGTGGTGAAGAAGTGAGGAAAAGGAACAAAAAAGAGAAAAATAAATACGTCCTTTGCGCATAGAGCGGTTCGGGTTTAGAAGCCGGCGAATGGGAATAATAACGGAACTAAACTTTATTTTTGCAGTTTTTTCGGTATTGTATGAATTCTTATACGATCACTATCGAGATTCCCGCGTCTTTTTAACGAACGTGTCGATCGCAGTCCACCGAATGTAACATGCGAAAGAGAGAAAGAGCAAGGAAGCCGAATTTGTAATGTGCGAAATGTACCGGTATCGATGTGTAAAACGCCTATACAGCGCTGTCTAATTGTTATAGTTTTCGATCTTATGCTCGTCGCCGTGTTTCGAACGAAAGAAAAAAAAAACAGCGGCCTCGCAATCACAATCGTGTTTCTTTCCGCGAGAAAAAAGAAAACATTATCGATGGAACTGTATCTTCTAGTCATGCGTGCGCCACAATGTGTATTGATCACAGACGTTTTATCAGGCAGCTAGATCTTCGAACAAAGGGATCGTGGCTTTGTGCGGAATGACCGATTGATGTGGCTCTCGAAACGAATTAATCAACAACCAAACTCGATGATAAATTCGGCATACAATAGACAACCCACTTGGCATTGGGACAAACAGATATACCAACAGAGTCGAAACGCAGCTCGGATTATGAGAAACGCAACCGATTTTGATCAGTTGTCTTTTAAACGTAGGATCGGAAACTAACACGTTTGCTATAGAACGCTTCTGCGACCGTTCTTCGACGAGTAGAAAAAGTTACTAAACCGGAGAATAAAAGTAAGAATATCCTCTCCCCGTCCCCCCTCAAAAACCATCCGCCCCCAAATCCACCGATCCTCCCTCTTTCTCCGTCACAAGGATTTCTCCTCGCCACTCACAAATTTTATCGCATTATTACACTCCGTGAAAGAACGTATTGTGTTTGTGGATATATGTAATTTTACTTATCAATAAATAAATTACAAAGGTCCACTCGCGTCTTAGTCACTTCTCATTTGGTGATTAGAGAAACTCGAACGCTCGAACGCTGTCATCGGACTGCCGGTCTTTATGTATTTATTGCATTTTTCGTTTGACTGCAATTTTCGTTGATTTTTCTTTTTATGCATTTATTCATAAAGATCCTCGGTCCAGTGATCACCATTTACGTTGCGAGTAAGAAAAGTTCATGACATCCATTAAATAACTCGACCGTCACCGCTGTGAAAAAGAGATAGACATGTAAAAAACAATGAATTATTGAAAAGGCACGTTTAAATATCACATGGACATTGAAATCATATTATCCATTAATTGTTAGCTACAATGACACGACAGAACGTGTTCGTAGAAAAAAGTCCCAGATGAACGTGAGAAAGAAACAGCTTACTGTTTCATAGATCTGCTTTTTATCATTGTGATTAATTCATCTAACGCAGCATAGTTATCTATTACGAACTATAAACCCGATTACGAAGCTGTAAACTTTTCTCGCCATTCGTTCTTCGATCGCGTCTAAGGAAGTACACGATTCTCGTGATTTTCGCGAAGTCTAAAACTGCGCAAATGTGTACACTTTGGTAAGTATGTACAATATGTATTAACTGATATCGGAGATCGAATTGCCTGCTGTTTCTAATTGATATTCTTATCATCGTAATTAATACTATTATCAAACGCGAGCGAGCTCGTTTCTAAGCGCTAGATAGGCTGGCTAATTAAATCTTCTAAACTTGAACGATTTATTTTATTTTTTAGCGTAAACATTACTCGGCTCATTCGTCGCGTTTTAAGTTTCGCAACTTTCTTCCTTTTTTTCTATTATCAGGCTACGGATTTTATGCATTCATGGCAAATGTGTATAAAATTATGTGATTTTTAATGTAGTCAAGCGATTAGGAAAGAGATTCAATTTCTATTTGCAATCTATTTGCTGCAACTTACGCGTAGACCTCTTTTACTCCACATAAAAATACAATTGTTTAATTGACATAAAAATTTTGCGGGTCTTTACCCGCAGTGTATTTATTACGTATGAAGTAATCAATAAGTACAGTCGTTTGATGCACTTGAAATGGGTAGTCTTCGATCGCAAATGATCCCATTCAAAAGTACTCGAGCGTCGAGAATATCGAATTTTGTTTGTTTGTAAGATATTGATATCGATCCGGAAAGCGTCATGGCGGAGACGCCAGACATGTAGCAAATGTCAAATTCAAAATAATAATTGACATTTAGTAGAGACTATAATGTGGGCAACAGTTTTCGCACGAATGGGCATTATGTAGTGTATATGACAAGATACGAATCATTCAGAAGTGGTGTGTACGTCGCGTATATTGCTAACCTTATGCTTATTAACATCATGAACGTCACAGGTACTACTGTTAATTACATTTGAACAGATATTTCTTGGCGATTCGTTGTAACGTGAATGTGTGTGAAAATATTACGAATAATAGTATACATGCTCTATTAGCTCCATCAACTATTGGTATCATAAAAAATATTGTCTTTAATAAATAATGATTTAATCATTGCATTGCAGGTTCTCTACTTGTCTTCTATCGCAAAATAGTTAGTTAAAAATTGACGGTTGTACGGTGAAAGAATAAATAATTCAGATGTCTCTTAATGATGACTTTGACAGACCATTCGAAGAGTGCGAGCCCTTGCAATGGGGCGCATTACGAGAATTATGTCAGGCAAATGCAGAATATTTTATGTCGCATCAAGATGAAAATGGTGCCAGGATCAGAGCCGCCCATTTGGCAATGTTGGATCACTTAGAACAGGTGCAACCGTTATATAAAGAAATCTGCAGGTTTGCACCCATGTTTGATTTCGATGTCGATATACCTGGCAATGGGTATAGAAGTTTTCTAGTCTTAATAGATAAATGTATTATACACTCACGTGCAATCTGTCATCAAATATATTGTCAGAAAGATTCTATATTTTTTCGAAAAAGTTATCACATGAGGTAAATATTGCTACTGCTGAAATCTGCTGTACGAACAGATAATATTAATGAATAATTAATGTTCTTCTATTGACAAGGATGTATGTTTGTAGAGAGATCGAAGCTTGTTCGCAATTACTAGCATCTTTATACAATTGTTTAGAACATTTACAAACTATGTACTCGTGGAGCGAGACAATGATCGATGGTAAACCATCTCTTTTTATAGGAGACAATCACGATCCCTATGAAATTTTTAGTAAACTAGGTAATATTAACCAGTATTGTTTCTATGGCAGGTGTTTAGGATTTCAGGTATTAATAAGAACAATTGCATGATCCTAATTAATTCATAATGGTTTGATACTATTAGTATTAATTCTTAATACTATGATTTTAGTTTTCTGACTCAATAAAGCCTCTGTTAAAAACTATATTGGTCGCTCTGGCAACATTTAGCGAAGTGTTTTATGCTAATGGAACACTATTATCACGATGTGCTAATTCTGTTAAATATATGTTAGACCCTGAGGCAAGAGCACGTCGTTTTGTAGATGTATCCCAACGAGCTGATATATCATTTTGTAAAGCATTTTGGTTTCTCAATGAGACTGGTAAACTATGATCTTTTGCTTTAACGAACCATTATTTGCTACTATTTCTCATGTACTTTATCAATTACTTTATTAGATATAGCACGTAGACTGCCAGCTATTGCATATGAATCCTTGGCAATAAATCAGATAATTTCTATTCCACCTGAAGAATTGACAATTTCCACATTGGATGGGAAAACTGTGTCAATTCCAGTACCACATAGTCACGTTGGAAAGAAGCCGATCCATGTTAGATTAATAAGCTTTAAACGTCGTTTGGGAATGGTAAAGATACAATATAAGTGATCTAAGTATAGTTAGTATGAACTGATGATTCAATCATCGATTTCATCTTCAAGTTTTACTTAGTCAAATAGAAAATTTTTGTAAAATCTTGCTTTCACTCATGTGTAGTGTATGGTTCTCTTAGATGGGTTCAGGTGGAGTAGGAGGAGAACTGCTTGGATCATCGGATGAACTGATAATTCATTGCCATGGAGGAGGTTTTGTATCACAGACTTCATTATCTCATGAAACATACTTACGATCGTGGGCTATAAATCTCGGCATACCGATCTTAAGTATAGATTACAGTTTAGCACCCAAAGCTCCATTCCCTAGAGCATTCGAAGAAGTTTTATATGCATATGCATGGGCTTTAAATCATTCAAGTACTTTGCTTGGTAGTACAGCGCAGAAAGTACTACTTGCTGGTAAGTAACAATAATTTTCACTTTTGTTTTCTTGTTACTTGCAGCTAATAGAATTCGCTTTTTCCAGGTGATTCTGCTGGGGCCAACTTAAATTTGGGAATCACTTTAAGATGTATAGAATTAAACATCAGAAGACCGGACGCAATTTTTATGGCGTATACCCCAGTTTTTGTGGACTTCGTGCTGTCACCTTCGCGTTTGCTTGCTTTAACGGATCCATTATTACCTATGGGATTCCTTATACGCTGCTTGAAAGCATACGCTGCCACAGATACCAAGAAAATGGCAAAGTAAATTATGCACAGAAAAGCGAATTCTACATTCTGATAAAATGTTCTACCTATTACTAATGCCCAATTTATTGCAGCTCTAGAGAAAAAGAAAATGACATTGTGGAAGGCAACAAATCCGACACGGAGTCCTTCGCAGAAGTCAGTGAGAGCGATCTAATAGCTTTAGCTCTTAGTCCTAATGGAGACGAGACAAACGATGCCCATAAGTTAGCATCTTTACCATCTGACACTACCTTGAATTCTGTTAGTTTAACAGAAGCTGATGGTAAAGAAGTTAAAAATACATACTTCGTATACAAATTTATATTTAATTGATTTTAAATAATTCAATGTTAATATCCTTTAATGCAGTAGAGACAGAGAATCCGACAGGAGTGAAATCTCAAGAATATATTAAAAGGTTCTTGGATTTGTATCGAAATAGTGGTATAAATCCTGCGGCATATATGGGAAACAGTGCAGTTAGCACGAACAACGCTATTTCAAGAAATGGTAGATCATGGTCACTGTTTGGTTGGTCGCTTACAGGAAAGCATAGAGAATCCAGAGAGTTGGATATAGAAAATATAAAAAATTTTTCCGAAGAATTTATGTTCACAGTGCCCAGGGATCCATTTTTAAGTCCCTATCTTGCACCAGATAATCTTTTAGCACAATTACCGCCTATCTCAATGTTGGTAAGTTCATACATTTAAATTTGAGAGTTTCATGGACAACGAATATGTAATACTTAAGTTCCATTTATAGACATTACAAATGGATCCTTGCCTCGATGATTCCGTCATGTTTGCAAGAAAACTTCGATTGCTTGGTGTATTAGTTACGCTTGATATTGTACCCGGTTTACCACATGGATTTCTTAATCTGACACCGGTAAGATGAAGCACTAGTAAGAACTAAATGTAACTTAATTATAAATTCAAATTTACAGGTCTCAAAGGACGCTAATGAAGGATCGGACCTGTGTGTCAAACGAATACAGGAGCTACTAGCATTATAATCATATGCATGTAGCCCATACTCATTAAATTATAAATGTTGATATCTGGGAACAAGTTTCGTTACTGCTGATTTTTTAAATGTTGTTTATAATATTTTTTTTATACAAGTTGCGGTAATTTGCAAGTATTTATACTCTTACAGTCATCGATTTTAAGTATATAAATATAATATAAATAATTGTTATTATTAAAAATTTGTTAAAATTTTTGTTACAATTTTTTTTATTATTATTAACAAATGTTACGAAATTTACATCTTTATGTAGTGAATTTTCTCCTTTGTGCCCCTGCT